TGCATTTCGTATCTATCTATCGAACGGTTTATGTTTATGGTTTTCTTTTACTTGTCTCTGTTTCCCTTCTCTTTTTTGTATGGTTGTCCTTTGCTTAACGTTTACATTTCATCATGTTTTTCTTTTGCATTTTTATAGATGTCATTCAACTGTGATAAGTGTGATTCTATAGCACTAATAAGGAAGAGCTCGACAAACACGAAGGACTACAGCATGTCCAAGCGGAACACTATCGCTGCTATTTATGACACAAAGAATTTCTGCTCAAGAATGGAGTTATAAAGCACGCGGAAAATAAACATAAGAAAGAGCTCGACGGCCAGTTCTTTTGCATGAGCTGCTGGAATTTATATTATAATAAAAAGGATAAGGAGCAGCACAATTGCTCTCAAGAACTAAGCCCTAGTGTCGATCTATACCTTAATCGTAGATTTAAGCTTGATAAGTGGTTTTTTACTTTACTTTTATGAATTTCCAATTGTTGCTTCAAGTAACATTTTCATATAGATAACTAAGTTATTTCTTTTACTTAATTTCTTTGTTATTATACATTCAAATTATCGAATTATAAATCACAATAAATCAACCTGAAGGACAATAACACCGGATCCTTAATCAAGAAAACGAAATATGATAGCAACATTTACAAATATAAAAGGATCAAGCAACAAAGAGCTCACTTAAGATCACCGAATTTCAACTTGATTCCTCGCATTGCTGATCACAACAATATTAAATAAATTTTTGGCTGCAAAATCCTAATTACTAAGTAATAGTATCCGCTAAGAAAGAAGCAAAATAGATCGCACGGGTTCAGCTCAAGGTCAAGTATTCGACTCCATGGCAGTTGCAATGTGTTGCAAACCATCTGTTCTATTTTGGTGGAGTCATATGTACTTATTTATTTATATTTTATACCCAATATAATAAAATTACCACAAATGTCTTAGTAATTTCTTTAAGAAAAACAAGTGTTTTTTTAAACATCCATAGGAGTTTGAAACAAACAACGTGCTAACTAAGTGTCCGATGAACTTTGCGACTGTTGAATTTTATTTTACCATGCTTATCTAAAACTTGTGACCCTTGAATTTCGCTTGAAAATGAGTGTCCAAAAAAATGAAATTTGGACGTCTCTAGTAAATTCATAAAAAGTAAAAGAATAGTATTCTCTAAGGTTTAATGAATTATTTTGGGTGCCAAGAAAATTGTGTGAGCAAATTAGGTGTCCAAAAAACAAGAATGTTCATAGATGAAACTTGAACGTACACATAACCACTTATAGAAAAATCGAAGGTTTGCTAACTAGTTGGGACACTTACGCTCCAACATGGGCCGCCTTTCTAATCCATACGTTCACATTTTAATTAAGGATCCAAATTCTATGTGTCTTATCGGCCGCCATTGAGTCAGAAGGACTTATACGCGGCACTTAACGATCAGCTGTCACCGGTATGAATTATGTAGGAATTTACTAGTCGTGCTCCACCGATAATTGTTGGCAACATGATTCAAACCTTGGTGGGGCAACACACAAGATATGACCTAACTAAGTGAAAACATGAGAATTAGGAGCGTCACACACTTTTCATGGTATGCAAAAATAATGCAAGGGAAAATATAATCCTAAGGAGAGCAAAGCACAAGAAACGAAAATACGTAAAACAATAAACCATAACAAATCCTAATCCTTATAGAATACCATTTTGTCTCTAATCCTTATAATCCCTTAGTTTATTTTGGAGTACACGCAGTGATGTATAAATAAGGACTTTTAATCAATTATTTTACATATTCAACAACAAAAAAAGAAGCTCTGTACCCTTCAATTTATCTTCTGCAAGAACATCTTCACAGTTCTGAAATCATGGGATCAAGTGTGTTTTCTCTTCATATTTCCCCTTACTTTTTCCAATCAAGTTTTAGATATTAAATATCAGTATTTAGGGTTAGATTCTTCTAAATCTGCTAAACACTTTTAGTCGTTTGCTGTCTGTGATTTGCCAGACGAGATTAATATATACTTGTTTGGACCTGATTTTACACTATCAGCCCGAGTAATCAAGACCGTTGAATAAGCAGAATTTTAGACCGTTGAATGACAAAGTGGTTGAAATAATTTTCGATTATTATTGAGAAATAATATTGTGATTTTAATCATGATATTATCTCTTAATGATATTTTAAATTATTTAAACCTGATATTTATCTATATCCCGATTGATTTGAACATTTGGAATATCAGGATATGCGGCAGCAGATAAATATGGTGCCAAATGGTATATGCTTTTGGATGTGGCCATGTGAATGTGCTTGTTGGGATTTTATCCTATGTAACTTTGCATGCATAAGCGCCACCTGGATCAACATGGTGGAAATAAAGAAGGAAAACATTGATGTGAGGGCACAGTTTCCTAGCTGAACTAGGAAATAGTTTGAGGGCACGGTTTCTTTTGAGGGATGCAAAGGATAAGGGAGGAAAAAAACATATGTTTTATTTTTTGAATAATGGTTAGAGTCAGATGATGATGACGGCTAAAGGATATGCTCTTGCCTATCTTGAGAAGTCTTTGACTGAAGTTTTGGCTAACAAGTTTGAATTGAAATCAAATTCTACAAGTCCAGACCGTGCAAAGCAAGTACTTCAATCCTATAAATACAGATGCAATGGCAACGGGAGGAGGAGCTCTAATTCAACACACAACTGCCCTGCGCAAAACCTCTCAAACATCTTGAGATTTTTTATTTTCTTTTTCCCGCCGACACATCTTCAGTTTGGATAAACAGCACTGTGAAGGCAACCAGCGAACACCTTCAGTTTGGATAAACAACACTATTGCCGTAGAATCAGCCGACCGAAGAGCACCTTTAGTTTGGATAAACAGCACTGCGTTGAGGCCGACTGGTTACCTATCCAAGTCTCGATCGAGAAGGGTTTCTGAATCCTTATTGGCAGAGGTCATCTTATTAACCTTCTCGGCGAAGTAAGGTGTTACGAGTTACGACATTTGGCGCTTTGAACGCCGAGTGGTTTTATGATTGGATGCTCCCAAGTGAGTTTCAGAGTTTAGCATTCTGACGGTCGAACCACATTTACCATCAAGACATACATCACCTTTGAATACTTGTGTCCGTACAGTCTGGTGTCAATTCGACGTGCTTATACTCTCAGGAATATAATCACTGTAACTGAATCCGGCACTGACGATTTGTGAACTTCGCAGAACTAGCAGCTTTGTCTTCAGGCTCAAGAATCCAAAGACCGAGATTTGTTCCTTCTTCGGCCGCAATCGCAAGATCAAGAAGTCAGCAATATGCTCAACGTAACATCAACAAATTTTACTCCTCAGCCGAGCTCGGCCGATGAGTTGGTACGCCCCGCATTCAACCGAAGGACGTAGTTAGCTTATTAGTTACTCGGCCTGCGCGCCACGTAGGCTTTGTAATTTTTAGGGTCAACAATACTATATATCTGTATCTTCTTCGAAAACAAAAGAAATAGGGATCGTCTTCGAAAATAAAAAGATGCACTCAGTAGTTTTTGTTTTGTTTGTCCCATGCATAAAACCTCTATATAAATGTCTGCAATTTTATGTGTTTAACATAACCATGGTTTCTCTTATTGATTTTGTTTAATTTTTCTTCTTTCTCAGATTGGGCATCTCTTCCTAACTATCTTTTGGAATCAAGTTTAGAGAATTTAGCGTCACGATTAGAATATATTCGATTCAGTGCCGTTTGTATGTCATGGTATTGCGTAGCAAAAGATAATAAAAGAAAAATTGACGAGATTTCTAGTTGTCATAATCCTCGACTACTCTTGATTCAAACTGCCAAAAAACGTGATTGGAATATATACCACCCCATCGAAGATAGAGTCCTTGGTCTGCAACTAAATTTTTCGAAGAAGCGATTCTGTGGTTCTTCAAAAGGATGGTTAATAGCTATGAATATGGATTTGGTAGTAACCCTTATAAATCCCTTTTTATGGATCAAAGGGAGGAAAAAAAGAGAAGATTCCATCATCAATCTCCCTCCACTCGCTCGTCCGCAAGAAAGAGTGTCTGTTCAGATAACCTGTACTTTTGTGATTAAGGCGACAATGTCTGCAGACCCAATATTAGATGTCGATAAATGTATTGTTGTGGTCATACACGAGCCAGGTAAATTGGCTTTCATTAGAGTCAAGGATAAGGATACATCATCATGGACGTACATTGATGAAAGATCCTGTATCCAATTCCAAGATGTTGTTCGTGTAGAACACGATTTTGTTTGGATATCCTTAGAATCCTTGTACTTGTACTCCTTTAGTTTATCAGGGACTACACGCAGTGATGTATAAATATTAAATAAAGACTTTTTAGTCGCTGAATTACATATTTAACACCAAAAAAAAGGCCTGCACTCTTCAATTTATTTTCTGCGCAAGAACTTGTTCACAGTTCTGAAATCATGGGATCAGGTGTGTTGTTCCCCTTACTTTATACATTTATTTACCTTGTCATGATCATGACATCCTAATTTTAATCTTTTCTTTTCCAATCAAGTTTTAGCTATTAGATATCGGAGTTTAGGGTTAGATCCTTCTAAATTTGCAGTGAACATTTTAGTCGTTTTCTGTCTGTGATATGCTTGGCGTGATTGATATATACTATTTTGTATCTTTTTCGAAAACAAAAGAAAGAGGGATCTCTTCGAAAATAAAAAGAGGCACTCAGTAGTTTTTGTTTTGTTTGTCCCATGCAGTTATTGATTTTATTTTATTTTTCTTCCTTCTCAGATTGGGCATATCTTCCTAAGCATCTCTTGGATTCAATTTTAGAGAAGATATTGTCGCCGTTAGGTTGTATTCGATTCAATGCTGTTTGTATGCCATGGTATTGCGTAGCACAAGATAATAAAAGAAAATTTGAGGAGATGTACTCAAGTTGTCATAATCCTCCACTACCCTTGATTCAAACTGCCAAAAAACGTGATTGGAAGATATATACAGTCCCATGGAAGACAAAGTCCTTGGTTTGCAACTAAATTTTCCGAAGAAGCGATTGTGTGGTTCTTCAAAAGGATGGTTAATAGCTATGAATATGGATTTGGTCGTAACCCTTATAAATCCCTTTTTATGGATCAAAGGGCGTAAAAAGAGAGAAGATTCCCTCATTGATCTCCCTCCACTTGCTCGTCTGCCTGAAAGAGAAATGTCTGTTCAGATAAACTGTACTTTTGTGATCAAGGCGACAATGTCTACAGACCCAATATTAGATGTCGATAAATGTATTGTTCTGGTCATACATGAGCACGGTAAATTGGCTTTCATTAGACTCAAGGATAAAGATACATCACCATGGACGTACATTGATCAAAGACGCAATATCCAATACCAAGATGTTGTTCATGTTGGAGATAAGTTTTATGTTGTCGAAGAATGGGGTAGACTTTCTTCTTTTGATATTGCTACTCAGTCCATCTCCAATAAACAATTGGTTGCCGGCGATTACATGGAATTCGATGAGGTAGTAAAGGCGTATATCGTGGTTTTAAATGATAACGAATTGTGGATGGTTCAAAGGGGTTTTAAATTTAAGACTGGTCGTGTGACAACGTTAGTCAGGATATTTAAATTGAATTCTGATAAGTGTGAGTGGGTTGAGACAAAAACCCTAGGTGATCTTGCTTTCTTTTTGGGTGATAACTTTTCCATATCTGTTAAGGCTTCCAATTTTCCAGGATGTATGCCAAATTGCATATACTTCAACTACGATTATGATCGTATCAACAGTTATCCAAAAAACCGCTTAAGTGATGATTATTGCGTGTATAATGTGGAAAGTCGAAGCTTTTCGCAGCCTTATACCCGAGAGGCTAAGAAACTTTTAGAAAAGACCATGCAACCTTCATTTTGGGTCGTGCCTACCTTGCGGTTGTAAACAAGTTGTTATATTTCTTCATCTGTATTCTTTACTTCTATCACTTTTATGCATATTGTATCCATTTTTTGTTTTAACAATGGAAGCTCAATGGAGATATGAGTATATGTTACAAATTTTCCATTTTTTTTTCTTGTTAAGAGACGATGTTCACAATCTAAAGCAGAGTTTGGCGAATCTGCCTTTCTTTCGTTTCGTTGTTTCAGTAGAAAGAAAGTAGGATCAGCCCAGCAACGGTCTTCAAACCACCGGCGTCCGTTTGGCTCCGGCATCAAGCTTGCGTACAGAAAAGTGAGATAGGGAGAATGGAACGGAGAGAGAAGAAAACGAGGAAGGTGATGGGTTTCATGGAGGTAGTGGTGGGCTGAGAAGGTGAAAGAGATTTTTTAATGCGACGCAAAAAGAGATTGTACACAAAATAAAGAATAAAATGAATATATCAGAATTAACTTTTTAATGCAATAATATATTTTTTTATTAAAATAAATAATACCGATAACTTTTCATTGGGAGCAAATGTAAGCAATCCAACGAGCAACGTGTCATTGGCTAATGGATAAGTTAGGTTAACCGGTCGGCCTTTTGCTGGTAGAATAGTTGAATCTCCGTCACCAGAAAGGGATCAGCATCATCTCCTGATCTAAGGATGAGAATCCTTATGATCAAGAAGCGTGGATCGTTAGATGAAAATTTAATGGTTATAATTATTATAACTTTAAAGGGACCTCCTGTTTGTAACCGTTGGATTTTCATCCAATGACTCATATTTCTTGGTCATGAGAATACCTATACAAAGTTCAGGAGAGGATCCTGATCCACCAGAAAGTGCACATTCCACGTGGCGCACTTCAATCCTCTGCGTCCCCACTCAGACCCTCCCTTAAAACTTTCGCTTTGTAACATTGTACTTGGAGTCAAAAGTGTCTTTTAGTAAAAGACAGAGGGCAGCACCGTCCTTTAGGTACAACTTCGTCAAGCAGCTTTTTAACTGCCATGTTCTAACTTCTGCGCCTCGCGCAATACAGTTTCGGAAACACGTGGGTCTGAAGACCTTCCAAGCTTTTCACTCGGAGAGAGAGAGAGAGGGAGAGAGTGCGGCTCATACTCCGGCGGTGGTTGCTCGGAAAATCAGTCTCCGGCGATGGCGGACCAGAACTCCGAGGAATGGCTCCCAGCTGGATGGACGGTGGAGGTCAAAGTTAGAAAAAATGGCAGAAGAGACAAGGTCTGAAAATTACACTCCTTTCTATCTTTTAATTTATTTATTTACTTCTCAAACCCTGATTAGGAAAACTAGTAGAACTGCAAGATCCTTAAGTAATTTTGGTAGTTAGTTAAGTTTAAGCTTAATTTCAATTCTGTAAGTTGGTAAAGAACCAATTTTTGTGCTTGTAAAAGAGTGGAGGAGGATTGGAAGTTTGGATTTTTGATACGAGCGATATTCTACTTTAAACTAATCTAAACTGCGAAGAAGGGGATTCGAGCACATCCGCAAAAGTTTGGAGATTTAATTGTAATGTTGAGGTGTGCATTTTCGATATGAACTTAGAACCAGACATTTCCCAGGTCTGTTCGATTTTAGGATTAAATCTGACACCTTTGCTTGCTGTTTTTGAATGTGTTATATGTGGAACATACTATGCTTCTCTGAGCTTTGTACTGTCGAATTTCGAAAGTTTCAAGTTCCTTAATTCGACATCCTTATTTATAGGGAACTACACTTGCAACTTGAAAGCTATTTTCGTTTCAATCGGTTTGAGCAAAGTTTGACACTGTTTTTAACTCTTGGGGAGAGAGATATGGACGATGTTTTGCGATAGGTGATTTAGTAGAGGTGTTTATAATTTGTGTTTGTTGCAGTATTATTACGAATCCTCAAGTGGACATAGATTTAGTTCCAGGGCAGAGGTATCTCGCTATCTTAGCACCTCCAATACCAGTCATGAAGACAAACAGAAAATTGAGGAGACTCTCAAGCGACCTTCAGATGATGTCCGTTGACTCAAACTTCTACTTATTATCTACATTTAGATGTTTAACTTTATCAGATTTTACTCATTTAGATATGGAAACTTCAATTATTCAAGCATTTAGGTTGTAGTTGAGAAGACTGTAGCAGAAGGCCTGCCTCCAGGATGGATCAAAGAAATCCGGATGACGAAAAAGGCTCGTAAGATTAGGAGAGACACGGTAATGAACTCTCTCTCTCTCTCTCTCTCTCTCTCTCTCTCTCTCTCTCTCTGTGCGCGAGTGAGTGTGTGCGCGTGCGCAGTATGGCCTCGTTAAGAGTTTCAACGGCCTTTCAGTTTCAAGCTCATTCCACTCATTCTCTTTATCACGGGTCATCCCTAAAGTTCACTCCTGCGTTGAATGATATTCTGTCTCTGTGCAGCATTATATTGCTCCTGTAAGTGAAAAAGTATTCCGCTCTCTCAGGGATGTGCATCGCTATCTAGAAAATGAGGAGCCAGGAAGGTTAAATATCAACCCGAGTGGCAGCAGTGATAAGGAATTGGAAGATGAAAAATCCTCTGTAAGTTACTACAAAATGGATTGTCTGGATTTTAAACGTTACTGTGCCTGCCATTAATTTTGATTGTTAGTAAAAATTATACTTATAGATTTTCATCGATGTCTTTCCTTATTTGGATTGCTGCTGTAACCAAGAAACAGAAATTAGACAACCCAAGTTTGAACTTCAACGAGACAACAAAGGATGGAGCGATACTTAATTGTTCATGTAACGGAGAAGGGCCGCCCCTTCCTGAACATACTTCTGATCAGAGTAATGTTCAAATTCACATCTTATTTACAATCTCTTGGTATCATCCTTCGTAGATATATTCCTTGTTCTTTCATCTTTCGTGGGATTTGAGACTGAAAATTGCCAGAAAGTTATTTTCTTTTCTTTTTTTTGTCCTGATGATTTAGAAAAGTTTGATTGATTTCCTAGGCCATCCCTTATTCTGCAACACTAAGTTAATAATCTTTTAACTGACATGAACCTGTGACATGCTGCAGGTGAGGTGGGCACTGAATTGGGCAGCTTAAATCCTTCAGAAGCCAAAGGTTCGGAGCAAAATGAACAAGACGGTGATTCCACAAAAAGTGAATGTATTTCAGCTCCCGCTGGTGGAGACCCACCAGATAACCAATGCCTGGAAAGTGGGATGATAAAACATGAAAGAAACCGTTCTGGCCTCTGCAAGTCAAAGAACAAGAAAGAGCTTATCTTGCCTCGCCGTGCTTCAAAGCGACTAGCTGGAGTTGAAGTTGGTCCAGTTCCAGAACTGAAAACAAGTACTCGAGCCCGTCGAGCTGCAACTGAACAGTCAGGGGAGGGAGCGCGCCATACAACTGAAGGCCCGTCCCTTCCTGAACACAGTTCTGATCAGAGTAATGTTCAAATTTCACGTCTTGTTTACAATCCCTTGGTATTGTCCTTTCATAGATATGTTCCTTATTCTTTCCTCTTTCTTTTATGTGGGAGTGGGAGTTGAGACTCTGAAAATTGACTTAGTTATTTTCCTTTTTGTCATAATGATTTAGGAAGTTCGACTGATTTCCAAGGCCAACCTTTTATTCTGCAACACTAAGTTAATAAGCTTTTATTTGATATGAACTCACGACATGCTGCAGGTGAGGTGGGCAGCTTATATCCTCCAGAATCCAAAGGTTCAGAGCAAAAAGAACAGGACTGTGATTCCACAAAAAATGAATGTATTTCAGTTCCTGCAGGTGGAGGCCCGCCAGATAAGCAATGCCTGGAAACTGGTCTGATAAAACATGAAGGGAAAAAGACCCATCTCGACCTTTGCAAATCAAAGAACAAGGTGGAGCTTATCGTTCCTCGCCGTGCTTCAATGAGACTGGCTGGAGTTGAAGCTGGTCCAGTTCCAGAAGTGAAACCAAGTACTTCAGCACGTCGATTTGCTGTTAAACAGTCAGGGGAGGGAGTACGCCATACAACTGAAGGTTCTTCCCCTGGTAATTTGCCTACTTGTGCACTCAGGCAGCCTGATTATCATGAGGTTGAGCCAGAAAAGCATATTCAAAATGCGGAACAAGCAATTAATGGCGATGCTAAGCAAAGTTGTGCTTCTGTTTTCCCATTGGGGAGCCGAAGTAGCCCAGAAGAGCATGCAGGAAAACTTGAAACCGATTATAAGGCTGAAGAGAAGCCAGGACTTGAACCAAACTTACCTCTCGGGGATTTCTTCACAGATCCTTGCATTGCATTTGCAATAGAGACTCTCACTGGAATAGGTTTTGACAATGCCAGGAGCGATGGTGACCATTCATTAGGAGGACTAACTACACCAAAAGATCATCATGGGGACGTAGACAATAAGAGCAGTGGGAAGCAGGAAAGCGGCAACCTTTTTATTCCTGAACACTGGGGGAAAGTTGGAAAGGATGATGATGCTGGACAGAAGTCAGGATCCCCTACTGAGTTGCCTTTTGGGGGTTCATGGCCCGATCCATGCATTGAATTTGCTATAAAAACTCTCACGGGTGCAATCCCATTAGACTACGATCCGCATATTGAGGAGTACTTTCAGCAGCAACTAAGCTCATCAAAAACTCAAGGAACTAGCGACTTGACCTTGAACAATGTTGGTCTAGATAACTTCTGCCAAACGGATGATTTGTACGAGCAGTTCTGTCATGCGGAGGTCCCTGTGCATAAGAAACAAGCGCTTTCTGAACCTCGACACACCAGGAGTGGAAGTTTACACGGTTCCGGTGGATCAGATGTAAACCAAAAGGGGAGGCAGAGACACTGACTTCAACCCTTGTACAGCTCCTAAACACTTTGTACCAACCCCCTTCCACGCCACCCCTAACCTTTTGTACTTCTCTCGTGCTGATCTTTTAGGAAGAGACCGCCTCGGTGAAGTTTTCTCCTGTCTGCATCTCTGTATGTGTAACCCTAGTGTCTGTAACTTTAGTACGAAGTATTGAAGCTATTTTTTTCGTTGCATTGGCAGTGTTTGTTCACTAATTATGACTAGGATGGAAACATGTATAGACTCCATTGATAAACCTGAGGCAAAGACCGACAGGGAGAACTCAAGTTTTATTTGCAAATTTTCACGGCCGGAATCGCCGTTTGCAGCTAAACTGGCAGAGATTAATATGCCATTAAACATATATTGACTGATTTGCGCCCACGAAGAGAACCTCGTCTCCAACTTCCAACAGCTTATAGAACCAAAACGAAATGGGAGAGAAGGCATGCCCATTCGATCTGATGAATAATCGTCACCGCCCGAGGTAATAGCAGCAGCAATGATCCCAGGGAAACCTAATTAAGCTAATATTGTTTCTTAGAGGTCAATAAACCTAATTAACCTAATTGAATAAGAACGATAACCCTAGTCGATCCAACCGGTCAAACTCAGTTCGTGGCTGCTCCAAACCCGTGTGCGGTCGGGTCTAAATCTGTATCAGTTTTTTGTTTTTTTTTTTTTTTCGGTTTTCTTTCTCTGTTCTTGTTTCCCGACTTAGTATCATAGCGAAGAGGACTGCCGGGAATGGCGGTGCTGGAATTGCAAGGGGTGGTAGAAGTTCAGCCCCAATTTGAAGATGGCCTCCACAACCTCCACATCGGCCTTCTCTGCCGCCCTTCCTCGCCGGAAACCTACACGTTTACTATCGGCTACCAGGAACTGACAGGGACGAAACTGCCCTTCAAGAAGCCGCTCTTGGTCTTAAAGAAAACGAAGCGCCCCAAAGATGGTTTCTATGACGGTGCTCATGTCGCAGTGGTGGGATTGGAAGTCACTGGAATCATCCGCCACCGTACTTTGTTCAAGACCAGACCTTTGGCCCTTATTTCCAATACGCATTCTTTTCTTCTTTTTACCCTATTACTTTTGGAATTTTGGATTTTGGGTGGGAATTTAATGAAAAAGTAAATTGTGATAATGGTCCCTCAATTTTAATTAAATTTGAGCAATGATTCCTCAACTAAAAATCCATTACCATTGTCCCTCAACTCATCAAAATATGTAGCTATGGTCATTTTCGTCAACTTCGTCAGAATTTTGTTAAAATAAGTTACGTTGGAAAGACCATTGCTACAATTTGGTCCCTCAACTCATTAAAATGTATAGTTATGGTTTTTTTCGTCAACTTTGTCAGAATTTTATCCAAATGAGTTATGTTGGAAAGACCATTACCACAATATGGTTAAAGTTGAACTATTTCTTCAATTAGGTTAGAGTTGAGGGACCATTTCTTTAGTTAGATTAGAGTTCAGGGACCAATGGTTCTCCAATTGGGTTAAAATTGAGAGACTATTTCTCCAATTGGATTAGAGTTAAGAAATCAATGGTAATGAACTTTTAGTTGAGAGATCATAACTGCACGTTCTAATGAGTTCAGAAACCAATGGTAATGAACTTTTAGTTGAGAAATTATAGCTGCATGTTCTGATAAGTTGAGGGACTAATGATAATAAATATATTTAGTTGAGAGATTATTACTCGAATTGAGTTAAAGTTGAGCGACCAGTTCCTAAAATTTACTCTATTATGAATTATGACATTGACCCATTTTTTTTTCTTCTGGTTTGCAGGAGAACCCCAACCAGCGGTGAAGAAAAGCGCGCAAGCTCCTTTTACACCAAGTGTCCTGGAAAACTGAAGCAGTTTCAACCTTACCAGAAAGTGAAGGAGTCGAAACAAATGTATTAGAATTTCGAACAATAAGCTTTCTCATGATTCGCATCGTTAGATTTTGCCGTGCTTTGTGTGTACCGGTTCTGTTTCTTATCGTTTATGGGAGAAAGTTGTAACGGTGATATCGACACAAAATTCACTCTGCAACTTGATTCGTAACAGCGTAATTTGCTCAATGATCCATACAGCAGGAAACGATATTTCAAAAACAAGATCCACAGAACAGTAATTAGCAGCACACTAGGAGGAAGAAAACAAGTGAAATCTTGATTTTTTTTTTACTTTGAATCATGTAGTAATTTAATTAGAATTCAAAAAGCCTGATTTACTTACACAATTGGTACAGAAGCAGAGCAAGGCAAGAAAACTGCATGTCGATTCATACAATGCCATTCTAGGCAGAAGCCGGGCCTGCTCGGGCTCTCAGTGTTTCGGTTCTCTTGCTTCTCTCCATTACCTCCACCAACCACTCCACGCTTTCTTTAATCCCCATCCTGCAATCAAATGTCGAAGTGCTTAGCTATTGCATTTTGTATTTTACGGCATCTCAGTGCTGAGAATTATTTTTCAATGTGAAATGTGGTTCATCAAGTGACAAATTACCCTTTCCACGTTCGGAGCTAATAAAGAGTTAACTATCTGCCTATTTGGTGAAGCAATGGAGTCTAGAAAAGATCCACTTACCCATCGTATGCTGAAACGGCTTCAAACATAAAAACCCTTTCATCCAACTTTTTAAGATCCAGATATCGAGCAAGTTCCTCAGCTGATACAGAATCAGCAACGTCCTGCAATTGCAAAGACATTTCAATGAAGTGACAAAAAGGAGAGATTTACGGAGCATATTTTTCTTTTTATTATTATCTTAATTAAAAAGCAGCTTAAATCAACATTACGGATGCCATAACTAGATTTCACATTACAAGATTTAAAATAAAAACCATATACAATATAAAAAGATAGATGGCGGAGGAAATAACACATGGTTACATCAAATATAAAAGAAAACAGTTCCATATATTGGGGACGAGGATGCACAACAAATTACAACCCGTCTACATAGATGTCACCCAATAAGGACTTATGCACATGGATTTCTGCGTGTACATTCTGAAGAAAATGCGAAATTTATGAACTTCTGTTTTAATAAGACATGCAGCCAAAAATTTCTGAAAGATTCATCACTAGGTTGCTTGTGATTTTGTGCGGGGAACAATTTAGCCTCTCACCTGCTTGTTGGCCAAAATCAATAGAGGAGCTCCTTGCAAATCCTCATGCCGAAGAACTTTTTCTGGTTTTCAAAAGTAGTAATATCAGGGCAGTGCATCATGTAATTTTGTTATTCCTCAACTTCAATAGCTATGCTATCATAGGATACGATAATTACAAATGCCGCAGAATATGTTCACAAGATTCAGCAATTGAACACCACCTACCTAATGCAGATTTTGAATCTTCAAAACGTGATGGACAAGTGGCATCAATTACATAGACCACAGCATGTGCTTCTTCATAATATTTCTCCCAGATTGAGCGAAGACCAGGCTGACAGCAAAACAAACAACCCTTGTGACTGCCCATCTCAAAAATGAAAATTTATACTAGAGAAAGTGACTGATTCGCAACATTTGGAGACCATATCGATCCTGGTACATGATAACAATCTACTACTGCTAAACTAGTAATGTTTTCCAAGGAAAAGTACATCTGAATTTTGATGCTAGCAGTTTATGGTTTAGAATAAAGGAGTGAAAATCTATGTTAAACGAAGGAATACGAAAGATGAAATAAGATAAATGGCAAGGATATATTTCACATACCTGACCCCCTAGGTCCCAGAACACAAGCTTGGTATTTGATGCTTCAATACGACCAATATTTAGTCCCACAGTTGGAACAATTCGATCAGGAGGGAGACCCTCCAAGTTTGAGTACATTGACTTCAACTTCTCGAGCAAAGTCTACAAAGTAAAACCAGATTAAAATTACATCTGATGTTTCTGAAAAATCGTTAAAAAACTTGAAGAATAAAATCCACTAACGTGACCAAAGATAAAAGCATCTCAAAATGGCAACGAAAAGCACAATAACTAAAAGATTACAGGAAGGTGTATTACCGTCTTCCCAGCCTTGTCGATTCCAAGAATGAGCACATGAAACTCCGTCTTACTGAACATATATTTCCATAGTCCGTAAAACAACGAAAACATCTCTGCCTAGTGTAATTTGTTTACTATTCTATCCCTACCAAGCTTCAAGTTCCTCCTCTGGAACCGATAACAACTTTATCTTCCTCAACCCTACGAAAATACCGCCTGAAACAAAATACAAATGGCCAATCTTGTTACAAATATACATTCCAAAATCTGAATGGAATTCGCACGCACTCAATACATTTTGCAGCTTAACTTTCTCAACTGTCCTCATCAATTCTAATTCCACTTCTCACATTGCACGCACTCAATAAAAATGGCCAATCTTTTTACAAATATAAAAGGGCGACCCCAAGCCAACAAGGCTCCCACTTTGCAGGAACATCAATCGTAGGCAGCCTTACCCTTACTTTGCAAGAGGCTGTTTCCATGACTCAAACCTGTGACCTTTCGGTCACAAAAGAGCAACCTTTCTGTTGCGCCAAGCTCGCCCTCCAATCTTGTCACAAATATACAATTCTAATTCCACTTATCACATTGCCGGAATCAACACAAGTTACAGAAATCAAAACCTTTTCCAGATGCAGAACAACAGCCAAATCCAATTCGCAAAATATTGACATCTTATTAGATGAAGAACATCAACAACACATTAAAACAGCATAAAATTATAACAAAAACAAAAAAGAGATCTCCAATTAACCTCACGAAATAAGCCAATCAAGAAACCTGTTTGACCCAAAAAATTTAAAAAAAATGAAAATTAACACGACCCAATTCCGTTCAGCCGTAAAATTCAGAGACAGAACCGGGTTTAATAAAATAATCCAGATCAACCAACAAATTTCACCTATGAAACCAAAATCTCGAATTCTTACAGTCTGAGGGAAGAGCTGCTGCTTCTCTTCTATGTCCGCAATCGGGCCCCCAAATAACAGCTTCTTCTTCTTAAGCTCCAAACTCTCTGTCTCTCTCTTATATTTTTATTTCCCAGATTTGTAATTACATTTTACGTTTTTTTTTTTTTTTTTTTAAGAAAACTAATGAAAAAATGATTAAAATTTTGAATAGTATCATAAGTCATTTTAGAGTAAAATATGATTTTTAGTTAAAATAAACAGTACCAGGAATGTTTCGTTAAAACTTTTTTTTTTTTAATAAAAATAGATTGATTTGTTATATTAGATGTTATATAAGGAAATCGATAAAGTTTGAATTCGTACCGTAATGCAAAGACATCACTCCTCGTCCCACTGTTTTTGTTGTTGTTGTTTCTTATAAAAAAATAAATAAATAAAAAACATATTATTGTTTTTTTTATTGCATCAATTTTTTTTTTTTTTTGCGTTGTTATTGCGTCAATTATAACTCACAAATGTTATTTGCTTTATGTTTAGTTATTTTCATAAATGACGAGATTAATACTTAACTTAACTAATCAAGATTTTTCGTGATTTAGCTAAATTCTGGGTAAAAATTCTCTCTCTCACAGATTCACGTCATAATTCAATCAAATTCCAAAAATCCGTGGCTGACGTGGTTAGATCATAGCGGTTGTAATTTGTATTTAACGGTCCGAGATCTGCACACGCTGGAAAGCCCTTGGATGGCTTCGATCGATATTAGATGCTATTCGTTAGGGTAATTTAGTAAGCCCGGAAAATCATAAAACCAGCAAACAAAAATTCGATTCAGCGCTTCGAACGAACGCTCAATTTCTCCAAAGGAAGTAAGAAGGTATCAAAATTTATTTATATTTCCTGCTCTCTTCTTTTTCCTACTTTTAATTTGATTTTTGCGCTTAAATTTTCCCGGAAAACGCAGGAAAATGAAGGAAAAGGGAATTTTTCCGATCCTTTAACCAACTGCTGTTAATTGACAGTTAATTGACATGTTTCCGAAGGTTCATTTTCTTCGTTTTTGAAAGATTAGGTTGATTAGGGCTTTAATGCGCTATTGATCTGTGGCTGTATTGTATATTGCTCTTATTGTGCGCTTTTTACTAGACGTGGATTAATTTGTGAGAAATTGAATTGAATTTTTCTGTTTTTTTAGGTTTTTGTGTGTATATAATTCAATATCGTTAATGCAGTTTTGATGACCTAGAATGCGGTTGTGATTTGTTATGCTTAATTTTCGAGAATTTAACATCTAATTCTGCGATTTTGTTTCAGAGAATTGGATTCAGTTGATCAGTTCCTTGTTGGGGTGCTTTTGCGGAATCAGCTGCTTAGCAAAATGAAGTAATTCAATCTGTCTCCTGCTGTTTTCGTTATACTTTTCGGGTTTGGTTTATATTAAATTCTTAGAAATGTTGCATTAAGTCATGCTTTAGGAAATGGTTTCGGTTTTTGTAAAATTCTGCTTACTTTCTGTTTGTTATTAGATGGTTGAAGTTTATAGGTATACTGATTTTAGATGTTGTTTATTGAGTGGCAGAGGCCGAGTTAGATGGGACGAGGCTAATATTGGAGAAATTGAAGCAAATAAACCTGTAAGGCAGAAAATTACTGAGCCGAAGACGCCATACCACCCCATGATGACCGATGATGAGTATGGTATGTTGGTTTATGTCAACTGTATATGCATGAATCCCGTGTTTTTATTTGTCTTCTAAGTTTTGATGATTATACCTTTTCAAATGGTAATGCTTCATTTCATTATAGGTTTTCAATACTTGTTTCCTGAAAAAAAGAAAACGTTTTCTTGTATGTCGAAACTTATCATTTCCGATGGCACTGCAATCTTGGCAGGATCTCTGTCTCCTATGCGGGGGGGTACCTTCGATGATTGTGTTGGTGATGCAGATCATGCAGAAGCAATACGAACTGCTTTGAGTGATGTGGCATCATCAAGTGGAAAGAGCACCCAACGGTCTACTGGCTGGACATCATCTGAGGATGAGGCTGATGCTATGGAACAAGATGATGAAGGTCTTCACTCATCTCCTTTTCTTTTTTCCCCTTAAGTTAACACTTTCCATCGGCATTTGTTACGACTTACGACTTTCACTATATTTCAATACAGTCGACTGATTAGTATTATATTTTAGTCATCCGCTGCTTAGAATACTAATGCAAGTGGATCAATACATGGATATGATTGAAGTTGCATCAGATGATATTAATTTACTTCGTGTAAGACACATGATATAAGATCCCAATGAACATATTTAGAGGTTATTATTGCTTCTAAACTTGTCCTCATTATATTCTGTTAATGGGCGGAACTTATGTTTCCGATATTGCTTAATCCTCTTCTAGTTTTCATTTCCCTTGTGCCCAGTTTATAAAATCGGGCATATTTTTCAAATTCCTCTACCACTCATTTGCATTTATACTATTCATCTGCCAACAATCCTGTACTGACTTGCGGCTGTCTATTCTGCCTTCTTGCTGTCGGACTTTGCCAGATTCTGAGAAAAGCAAGAGTTTTAGGGAGCACAGAAGAGCCCATTATGATGAATTCCAGAAAGTAAAAGAACTCAGGCGGAAAGCTTCTTTGCTCGATGATGAAGAGGAGGACGAGGACGAGAACCTTGACACAGATAAGGAGAAGGAGAAGAAATCTGGTTCCTCTTCGTTAACTGCCGGTGTCAAAGAAATAGATATCGACAAAGATGTTACCTCATCAACCAAAAACTCTTCCGGACCTCCGGCAAATGACGCTTAGAAGATCAAGCCAAAGCTAAGACTTCCTTTTATCATTTTACTGACATTTGGATTACAGTTTTTGGTTCCTTCTTGATAAGAATATGCTCATCTGACTGCAATTTGTATCTTTTTATTAAGCTTTTTGTTTGTAAATAGTTCAACTTTATTTCCCTTTCATAAAAATGTCCGAGACCGAGAGATATTTTTGTTTAAATGCTGACGTGGCACTTGGTGGCAACACCTCACTCACATATTTAGGTCACACTGATCACTACTCTCTTATCCTTGAGACTCAGAGCAATGGCTTCAGAGCTTGCTTCCCAAATTTGCAGCCACTTAGCCTCTATCTTCGCTGTACCAACCCACCCCTACCCACCAGTCCTCGACCTTTTGGTCACTGAGCTCTCTTCCACAGCGGCTCGAAACGGCCGTGTCTTCCTCTATGGGGTGGGCCGAGAGGGTCTAATGGTGAAGGCCCTGTGCATGCGCCTTGCCCACTTAGGCCTCTCGGCCCACATGGTGTTCGACATGACCACTCCCCCAATCACAGCTGCCGATCTACTCATTGCCTCAGCCGGCCCAGGTGGGTTTTTCACTGTGGATGCACTTTGCTCCGTTGCTCGATCGAACGGTGGTCGAGTCCTCCTGCTGACGGCGCAGCCGGAGACCGGATCGTGCGTGAGGCACGCTAGTGTGGTGGGCTATGTGCCAGCGCAGACCATGGCGAATGATGCGGGTGGTGATGGGGATGTGATGAATTCTCGGCCGTTGCTTCCGATGGGGAGCGTGTATGAGGGGGCTTTGTTTGTGTTGTTTGAGATGGTGGTGTACAAGCTGGGTGAGGTTTTGGGTCAGAGCCCTGAAGCCGTACGAGCTCGCCACACCAACCTCGAGTGACCGCGATTACCTGATGAATGTGGGCCCATCACTGGGCTCTCTTTTTCTCTTCTGTTGAAATTCTGGGCCTTAGAGGCCCAACAGAATGTAATAAAAAATGATAATAAACTTTTTCTATCGTTCTAGCTCCAACCACAACATTCCGTTTTATTTATAATCGTCGAATTGAATGGACAACACAAATAAAAGACATAACTAAACAAAGGTGAGTGGGAAGACAAAGATGATGTGCAGTTTATTATTTTCTATAGAATATATATCTAATGATGGGAACGAATATTTGACCTTCATCACCTGTATTTTAGTTTTATACCACTTTATATAACAAAATATTGAATAACAAGGGGTCGGAAGATTCGGAACTAGGGGCGGCAATGGCCGTGGTCGTGTTAATCAACATGCAAAAATATAAAAACGACAATTCTCTAATACAAAAGTCATAGAATTCATAAGAACAATGTCATTGAGTTCTTTTTTGGGAACTTTAACGAAAAGTTCTCGGTACTGTTCACTTTAACAAAAAATCACATTTTTATACTAAAATGTCAATCCTGGTATTATTCAGTTTACCCTTTATTTTGTCCTTATCGTTAAAACTCAAAATTTTCAAACCCTTTTTATTAATTTTCCTTTCTTTTTTTTCTCTTTCAATTTTCACAACCCGTTGCTAGGGGGGGTCAGTGTTAGTCGGGTTCTAATCATGGCAATCAATATTTAATTGTTAATCGTCCTATGCTTATTGAATGATTAGTTCCAAAATTGTCATGTCTGAAATTATCGCTCTACTTAGATTGTACATCAACAAGGCCCACATGAGACCCAACTGGAGTATAGTAAGCATGTTAATATCTTAAGAGGTGTATTTTTGCTCACCATTATAATTATGATATATGTTCATCATATACTTAATCATCAGCCACATGTATCCTTTTACCTAACTCTGGTTAACTTTCACATTAAATATTTCTTTTTCAATTTTGAAAAATGTTAATTAGAATTAAATAAAATGACACGTGATAGATAATTAGATTTATAGTAAACACGTGAAAAAAGTTAACATTATCGTTGTGCGCAAAAATACGTCATATCTTAATAGGGACATGTGGAGATATTTTCGTAATTTAACTCTTTCCTAGTCCTACCGTCTTTAGTCATCCCAAAATATCTGTCGGAGCACATAAGTTGAGTTGGTCATATAAAGTTCATTTGACCAAAAATATAAAACGTATAAAGTTGTGTTAGATATTTTGCCCCACCAATAAAAGCTGAGAAAACTAAGGAAAAGAATTTGAAAATTTTGAGTTTTAACGATAAGGATAAAATAAAGGGTAAAGTGAATATTATTATGATTAACTTTTTAGTGTAAAAATATGATTTTTCGTTAAATAAACAGTAATAGAAACTTTTTTTTAAAGTTCTGTTAAAAGCTATTTGTAGATATTTTCAGCCACGTGCTTTCCTCCCTCTACCTCCTCGACTGCAGAAAAGCTTCGTATTCGCGTTACTAGCCCCGTCGAGTCGACCCATTGTTTTCCATCTCCATTTTGTTTTTGGAAATTTGATTTTTTGATAATCGAGTTGTGCACGCTGGGCTAACGTGGACCACTCGTTAAATCCTCCAAAGTCTAAACATAACGAAAATAAGAAAACAAATTAGTCCACTAATTAACCGTTTCACGATATGTACTTCGTTTGAAAGGTGTTTTTACATAATTGAGAGCGGTTTTTGAGAAAAATATTTGTCAAACTTAACTTGTATTTTTAATAAAGATGGATTTCAAAAAAATTATTTAGAAAACTTCATTTTAATCCTTGATAAAGATGATTTTTAGATTAAAACCATAAATAAGATCAAAATCTAATTTTAGTCCCTTGGTACATTAATAACCTCATTTATTTTCATTTAATTTATCGTAATATATTTTGTTGTAAACATTTAGATAAACTAATTTTTGTTATATAATATATTTCGATGTACTTTGTCTTCTTCGTTTAGGTACATTAAATTCATTATAATATATTTCGGTGCATACATTTAGGTACATACATTTCGATACAAACATTTAGGTACATTAATTCAATACAATACATTTTGATACTAATATTTCGGTGCATACATTTTGGTACACACATTTAGATACATTAATTTAATATAATACATTTCGGTGCATATATTTTGGTACTAACATTTAAATACATAAGTTCAATATAATACATTTAGGTACATTAATTGAGTCTTTCAAGTTTGAAGAATGTTAAACAAAATTAATAAATTAAAAAACTTTTTTTGGTCAAAAAACAAATTAAAATTTGTATGTTAATAAATTCAAATATTTAATGGGAGACATTAAATAAAATGCACATTAATTATTTTGAATTAATGACCCATCAAGAGATTATAATCAAGATGTAATCTAACACCAACTTTATTTTAAATTTCAATCTTCTTAATGATTAAAGTTAAAAAATCCCATTTTTATAAGCGGTTTCAATTATTTAAAAATAAACCATTAATCTTTAAAGTTATTTGTATGAATTCTGTCCGTTTTAGTCTTCCTTCTCAAACTCATTATTTGTTTTTTTTTAAGATATCGCGTTTCGAAGCATTGCTCTAATATCTTAATGAATATCGTGTTGAATTTTCACCTATAAAAATATTATTTAGTCGATTAATTTTTTAATGAATTAATTGAATTGCAGTCCACTAATTAGTATTCCAAATATCTTCCAAAGAATAATAAATCCTACACGCACAAAATCTAAATTTGTTACGATTAATATCTTTGGAGAGAGTCGGGATATTTGAATAGTGATATTTTGATGAGCCAAACACATATCGCTCGAGGAGAGCGAGTAGGTTTACTTTCTATACTCCTCCAAACTTTCAAATAGATTTTCAGTGTGTCCGAAATACAACCGGTATTTTCCCTTTCGAAAAGAAATAATATTACATATCAATCAAAACATATGCTCCATATATAATATCATATATATACACACACACACACACACACACACACACACACAGAGACCCATCGAAGCTTCAAAACTAAGACATACCAACCTACGCCATCAAAATTTTCAATCATCCAACAGCGTGGCCAGTGGCTATAGACCAGCTACTTCCTCTCCAAACCTCCGTGGCTGATGGCGGAATTAAGATCGGAACTAGTAAGAATGGAGTTGTTGAACAGTAGGTCGTGGACGAACGAGAAGCACGTCAAGTTTTTGAACAGCATGGAGGAATCCTTCGTGCGTGCCATGTTTGAGAAGAAGAAGGATCACCGTCGTCCTCCTCGTCTCGACCGGTACTTTCCGGACACTTCCGACTCAACCCTAGATCTCAAAACCAGCAGCAGAATTTCCAAAAACCATAACTCTTCACAAGGTAATTAATTCAAGAAAAAATTAGGTTCTCATCCCTATTTTTCTTACTCTATTGACTAAAATTTTATTTATTTTCAATTTTTATCAAATCCTTAGATTTAAATAAATACCATTAATTATTTCAATAATAAAATATTTTTTATTTCTAAATATATTCATTTAGTGTTAGAAACATTATATTTGTTATATTTATATTCATGGCGAAATTTTTTAGAGTGGTGATATTCCCACCCCGATGTCTTATTTCCTCACCCACCATTTAATGAAAATGTTAATAACATATTTATCATTTTAAAAGAAGACTATTAAATTCCTATTTAATTCAGTACTAAAATTTTGAAAAAAAAAAATAATAATTTAAAATAATAAATAAATAATGGTGGGTGGGGTGTGATATCTTTGGTGGAAAGAGGTTGGGAAAGATTTGGATTAGAATCGACGAAAAGGTTGGAGGAAGGAATAGGCGTGTGCTAGATGAAGGCGAGAAACTTCAATGGAGAAAAAAGAGAATTGGGTGTGAGATCTGCGGTTTTGACAAAAAAAGAGGAAGAGTGGTTTGGAGATCAGGGTCTCTGCAGGGCGGCGTTAGGTGTGAAGGAGATGATGAATGTCTAGGCTTAGGTCTTGCATTTTCTTTCATTTTTTTTTTCTATTTTTATTTCTTTATTTATAATATTATTTAAAAATATATTAGAGTTATTTAAAAAAAATATATTATGGTTATTCTGGGAATAATGGTGGGTGGGGAAATACCATTTTACGTTTTTTTAATTTTCTATGGTGGGTGAGATAAATAAGACACTGAGGTGTGTTTAGTAGCACTCATTTTTTATCATATATTTTTATTTTGTATTTTGTACCCATTTTTAATTTGCAACTTTTTTTTTTTTATTTGTACCAATTTTATTTTTAGTTTTATTTTGTACTCATACATTAATTCCTTTTTGTGCACATATTTTTTAAACTTTTATTTGTATTTGTATTCACATTTTTAATTTATTTGTACCCATTTTTAATTTTGCTAAATGTACCCATGCTATATGTATTTATTTTATCTTTTAAAATATATCAATAGTTAATTTTAAAATATGTTAATAATTATGTTGGTACATTATTTTGCTATAATTTTTGTGAAGAACAATATTACTCTAAAATTTATTTTTAAGCATTTATTATATTCAAAATTATAATTTGAATTTGTTTAAATTTCATAATTTGTGGAACATTAAATGCATAAATTCATGAATTCAATATCTTAAATGAGGCTAAGGACCTCAATCAAAATATTTAAACAAACAAGGTTTCAGTCTAACAATTAGGTTGATTAGGAATCGTAACCAAAATGATCCTTAATTCAATATTATAGAAATTGAATTTATATGCGTTTAATATATAAATGGCTTTATATATAAACAGCACCTAAACAAAACAGTAAACGTAAAATGTTTAAAAAACAAAAACCGTAAATGCAAGTCGAATATGGATTTTGAGAACTATTGATTAGATTAGAACTCAGTCATATAAGATGTGGAAGAGTTTCTAGGACTCGGGAATTTTTTGTAATAACTATTTGAGCTGTTTTTTGGGTGATCCACGGCCACCCCTTATGTTACAAAAAAAAAATGCAGATCGAATATACGTTGTGATATTTTGAGATGCGGTGCAAGTTAGAAGTTATGTGATTTATTCTGCTAATTTTCGTTTAGTAGTTTTCTTAGTGGTAATAAAAAGTACTTATTCCGTTAATGATATTTGGTCTAGGTGGCAGAATGGGCGGTAGAGGTCATAAAAGATCGAGGACGTTATCATCTCAGCCGTCCATTGCATCAGAAGATCAGGTTGGCAATTAACACTGAAATTAGTAATGCTATTTACAGTTTTACATACATTTTAACAAACGTTTAACTGATAGAATCCCGCCAGTAAGTACTACGCTCTGGTGGTATTCCTCTTCACTTGGGAGTGAGAGGTTTTAGGTTCGAATCTCGTGGATGACGAATTCAATATCAAATTAGGTTGTCTATTATGTGGCTTAAATAAACTCCTCCTCACCTTAGTGTAAAAATGTTGATGTGCTAAAAAAAAAAATTGATAGAATGCTTACTCAATGATGAGTAGGATCTCCTACACAAAACTCTGTTAGAATCACAGAGCTTTGTGTTTGTAGTCAAAACTGTTCATATTGTGAATCACTTTGTAAATATCATCTCTAAAAAAATAAATTAAAATGAGTAGGATCTCCTACACAAAACTCTGTTAGAATCACAACTGTTCATATTGTGAATCACTTTGTAAATATCATCTCTGAAAAAATAAATTAAAATGAGTAGGATCTCCTACACAAAACTCTGTTAGAATCACAGAGCTTTGTGTTTGTAGTCAAAACTGTTCATATTGTGAATCACTTTGTAAAAATCATCTCTGAAAAAATGAATTAAAGTTAAGATCGTTTAGTCAATTTATTGTAACAAATACATAGACGGTTCTTAATGTTTTTACCAATTCCGTTCTCTATTTTTATATTATTTGATAACTAAACGACTTTAATTTTAATTGATTTTTTGTGTATGCTATCTTTATAAAGCAATTAGAAACTCCTACGTAGCAAAATATTATTCTAACTGATAAATACCATTTGATTAAGTCTGTGGGTTGATCTTTTCTTAATTAATTGCGTGTCCCCGCCGCAGGTGGTCCCACAAATTACGATCAGAACGGTTGATGATAAAGAGCACCACAATGGACCTCAGCTGGCACTGTCTGCACCTATCAACTAAGAACAGAGATCACCCATCCATCCATGTATATGATTAGTTCTTGCTAATGTTAATCTTATCATTATTAATTATTTCTAGGGTTTCTTTTATTTGGGGGAAACGATAGCGATGGTGTAATTGATTTTTGGGGTTTTTTGAAATGGGTCCAAAGTAACTAAAAATTGGATCTATTTCAAAAGTCAAAAGTCACTAAAAATTGGACCTATTTCAAAAAGTAATCTATAAAATTGGACCTATTTCAAATTTTCCCTTGATTTTTTTTTGGTGACAAAAGGTTGCATTAATTTGGTGATGGGTTAGGGAACCTTTCAACGAAACAAGAGAAAAAGGACAATAAGAAATCGATCAAGAATAGTTCCAAATCTTGAATTGAGATCTCTTCAGATATCTGCGTCTTAAATTGTATAGAGACCATTAAACCAACCCATTGGTCCATCTCACATAAATCAAAAGTTCGGATCTCTCCCTTGAACAAAAAGGATTTCTGAGTCTTCTGATTCGACTTCTAAATTCGAAGAGGATCTCGATTCTCGATTCTCAAATCTTGATCTTTAATTATGGACAAATCTTATATTTTAGGATATAGTTGGGTGAATATGACTTGGACAGAGATTTTTATCATCGGATGTGTGTTGTGTGGATTGATCAATATACAATGGGGAGATTACATAATTCAAACCCTATTTGTGTAAGATGTTTATGAATATTAATGAATTTGTATAATAAATTTCCGTTGCTTTGTTTCCATAATTCATTGAAATGAATTTCTTAATTCGTGAAGAGTTATGTATGAATTTAGTCATTGCATTTGGTCTTACCAAACTTTAATCACTTGAACTGTTTATTCACGACTTCTACACCAATGTGCAAATTATGACATGCCATGTAACCTCACTTGTAGAATAAATTCTGAGGTCCGCCCAATGAACCACATCATTTGTTCTACTACCCATGCAACGAGTTGATTATCTTATAGTATGGTCCTGAACGATGTTACGTGGGTTATACTCAAATGTAAAAGGTTATGTTTGTATCTGTAGTCAGACGAGTGACTTGTTCTATCTATCATACCGAAGAATTTATCCACCTTTAGGCTAACTCAAGATAGAATGTTGGCTATTCTAAGGCAAAGTATGACCTTGACAACAACATTGAGCAACAAGAACAAGCATGCAGAGGATTCGATTTGACTTCAACAACCTCAGAAGAAGTTTAGAAGCCAATCGATCTTAAGATCTCAAAGCTCCACATTCTCTCTATCTCTCTCTCTCTCTTAGAGATTTTTCAATGTGACTGGCATATGAGGTGGTACACCACGTGTCACTATTAAAATGGTGAGATTTGTATGTTAAAATTTTAATAACTTAAAACATAAAATTTACCAATACTTATATAAAAATACGTGATGTACCATCTAGCACACGAGGTGGTACATCACGTGTTACTATTAAAATGGTGGGATTTGTGTGTTAAAAAATTAATAACTTAAAAAATAAAATTTATTACTACTTACATAAAAGCACGTGATGTACTATTCGGCACACGAGGTGGTACACCACGTGTCACTATTAAAATGGTGGGATTTATATGTTAAAAAGTTAACAACTTAAAAATAAAATTTACTACTACTTACATAAAACACGTGATGTATCACCGTATTCCCATCACAAGTAAAAAATTTCTCCCAACTCCAGCCAAGCATTTGTCCCAACTGGACTGGACCATCTGGTCCTTCAAAACCCAAACCAAGTAAACAATGCTACAATTCTTGATCACCTACAAGAATCTAATACTCTAACTCTCACCTCCAAACCCGCCTGTATTTCAATGAGTATTCCAATGCCTTCACTTTCTCCTTCGTTGCAATTTCATGTCTTTTGCTTCAGTTGTTGTACTTGAATAACGAATCGGACGATAAAAATTCTGGGTTTTTAGTTTATGGGGTTTTTGTTCCGGTTCAGCTGGGATTTGCCGGTGTTTCTAAGCTGTTGATTTTGCATGGTAAAGTTGCTTTTGAGAAATTCGCTTCGAGGCGGTCCGAGAAGCAATTGAGTGTGCTTTTAGGAGCTGCCGGATTGGCTTTAGGAAATGTGATTTGCTTCACGTTTAGTCCCAAGTTTATTGATTTCCATTTGGAGTCTGTTGATGGGTTTGGGAAATGTTTATTGCTGTTTTGATGGGATGCTTTTCGGGTTTTTTGTTGATACCGGCGGTGAAGAGTGCGAGGTGTTTTTGGCTTGGGACGGATCCGATTAGGTCTGATTTGGTAATGCTGTCATGTGATTCGTTTGGCAGAGTTGTTCTGTATGTGAACTATATGATGATTGCGTTCACAGTTTTGTTGTGGATTAATCCCTTGGCTGGAATGCTTGTGAACAAGAATATCGATCGCGAGGCATTGTTATCTTGGTATCAAAGTCTGCATGCTAGCAGGGTTCCCGACTTGGATTTCAGTAGGGCTAAGGTGTTTATGCACAATCACTACTTATGCCTCATAGTTCTGCAGTTTCTTGGACCGCCAATTGTGCATATGTCTTGACGAATTTGATCTGTTGATTCAACCTTCAAGACTAATCCTTGAGATGGACTTTTCACGAAATTTGAGTGAGAGCGTTGTTGCGCTTTGAAACGGAATTTTGATTACTTCATCCGTGTAATTCTGCCTCCCGGAGGGAAGGGGGAAGAGAGGATCAAACGCATTATCTGGTATATACTTTGACCTCCTCTGTTTAGTTTGTTGTTACGTTGATTCACACTCGTTTACTACGTGTTATAGAAAACCATATTACAAACTAAAATCTGCACAGAATAGGGTAGATTTCCTCCCGGGAGATACTATATTGTGACGGAAATATTGTTATGATCAACTAGTCTAACTTGAGTCTCGCATGGTAAATATTTGCATCAAATATTGCGATTTTTGCACGCCAGTTTGGCCATCTGCAGCCAAAATTAAGAATGTGTAGTACCTTCTTTCTGCTGTCCCAAACAACTAGATTTTGTTAATCTTGTTTATCAAAATATTCTAGACTATGTTTACAATCCTCATATCATGATATGAGTTGATGATTTAATTTCATTTCTTAAAAATGGACAACTGATGGCAGGTCATGATTATCCATTTCTTCAGAGCCGGAAGAGGCTATGGGGAATTTCATTCTGCCCGTGATCACATTCAAGCGCACTCAGCAACTTGGAGCCTCGAACCTAAAACCTCTCACATTTTTTGTTTATTGAGGAGCCGCAGTTTATGCCCCTACCACTAAACCATTTAATGTGATTAAATTGACAGATACTCATGTTACAAAGTGATGATGCTCTTCCTCATGAATAGTGGCAAAAAAGACCACGATTTTATATCACTTTCCGTATAGAAGGGGGAAATACGTTCTCCACGTGTTTTTTTTTTTATTTTTCTTCTTATTCACAATCCTTTTCAAATCTCCATTAAAATTTTTTTATTGCTTTATCCAATTTAAAAGCTAAATATAACGATGAATGTAAAAATCATTTTCCGAATATGTTACGTGATCATTTATATATAATTAAACTTAGATGCTTTAAATTATTATTGTCAAACAATAAGGTAATTTACATTGAATTACCTCAAGGACAAAGACAAATGTTTTCAACCAACTGGACTAAATACTTGTAATTTCAATTAATATAAAGCCGGACTACTTAGTGTTTATAAATCTTATGTAACATTAAGGAGGATATAAATCGAGAGTCATAAACATATTATATTATTATGATAGAGATTAATTAGTAATATTATGTGACAATTTACAAATTTAGATATTGAAGTACGTATTGTGGTTTACATTTTATAATTTTTTTAGATTTTGCATGCGTTGTAAACGTAATGAAAGTTGTAAATGGAATTTCGAAACTATATAAAACATTGTTTAATGTCAATTCCATATGAACATTATAAAACATTGTATGATAAAGGAGAAGTTATAAATCCCTTTTTGTTGTCTGATGTAATTTTTCCTATTTGATTTATGATTGTATTTAGATCTTGCATTTTTTTCCTGTTAATGAATAATTTGTTCAATTCCGAAATCTAATTTAAATGACGATTCATGAATTATCCGATTACTAATTATTGAATCTTTTTTAGTTTCACTCAGTTCATACGGCAGCCACTTTCATAGAGAGTGGTATTTTTGAGAAAATCTATTTAGCATTTTTCCACAATACAATTTCCGCACGAACTTCTTCCATCCCTACCAACCTCTAATAAGCCGTACACGCAACGGAAGAAAATCAAGAGATTTTTTAGTGTGATTGAAATTCATAGTGGTACATTATGTGTTACTTTGTCAATGATGGAATACATGTGCTAAAAAGTTAACAATTTAAAAAATACATTTTCTCATTGTTAAAAATAAAATTAAAAAAAAACACGTGATATAGTACCTATATTTCTGTTGTAATAAAAAATTTCTCAAAAATCTGAAGTTTCTCCAAAATGAAAGAGTTTCTGTGAGTTCCTCTCTCTCTCATCATCATCTCTCTCTCTTCCCAACTTTCCACCCTATAAATTCCCCAAGAATCTTCTAGAACCACCACTCCCGATTCCCACCACCATTTCTCCTACCCAACTCTCTCTCTCTCTCTCTCTGGTTTGCTCTCATCATCTTCCAAATTTTCATTTCAATTTTCCTTTTCCGTTGGAGGCGCGGCTTTTGATATGGCTCCGACGCCGGTGGAGCCGAATGGCGAGTCCACGTACGGCGAGTCGTTGCAGCGAGCTCTGCCGACGCCGTTTTTGACCAAGACGTATCGGCTCGTCGACGATCCCTCAATCAACGACGTTATCTCCTGGAACGACGACGGATCTAGCTTCGTCGTCTGGAACCCCACCGTCTTTGCCAGAGATTTGCTCCCCAAATACTTCAAGCACAACAACTTCTCCAGCTTCGTCCGCCAGCTCAACACCTACGTAAGCATCTTTCGGTTTCAAATTCTTCAATTTCCGGCGATTTTCCGGTTCGAATTTATTAATTTCTGAATGTTTTGTATTCGAATTTCAGGGATTTCGAAAGGTTGGGCCGGACCGATGGGAATTCGCGAACGATTGCTTCCAAAGAGGCCAGAAAGCGGCTTCTCTGCGAAATACAACGTCGGAGAATCACTCCTCCGGCACCGCCGGTGGCGTCGGCATGGGCGGTTCCAACGGCGAAACCGATAATGTCGCCGTCGAATTCCAGCGACGAGCAGGTGATATTGTCAAGCTCGTCGCCGAACAGAGCTCCGTCGAAACTCATGCACGAGAACGAGAGGCTGAGGAAGGAGAACATGCACCTCACCAAGGAGTTGGCAGAGGTCAAGTCCCTATGCAACAGTATCTTCAGCATGGTCTCGACTTACGCGTGCTCCCAATCGGAAAGCGGCTTCCGGAGCTGAAACCGCTCGATCTGATGCCCGGGAAGCTGTTTTCCGTCAAGGGGGAGAAGGAAGAGGAAGAAGACGCGAGACCGAAGCTTTTCGGTGTGGCGTTAGGGGCCAAGCGCCCGAGAGAGGCCAGCGGCGATGGCTCGGAGGGGGATGAGACCGACTTGCGGCTTCAGCAACCGAGTGATAGCGAGGTTAAATCAGAACCGTTGGATGTTGGTCATAAGGAAACGCCGTGGCTGAAGCAGTGCCACATGGCTAATCAGAGGGTGTGTAATTGATTACTAGTTAGAAGTTACGGTAGATATTAGATTGAAGCACGTGTAAAAATGGGTTCACGTGCGTGGTCAACATTTAGGGGCCCATTCCCTTCGAGAAGTTTCTCAGACATTCTACTCTTTCTTGCTTTTAGAAATAATACTATTGTTTATTTGTTTTTATTTTCTGCCTCTGATTTTGCGTAATATTGCACATGGAAGATGATGATTTTGAAATGTACTAATTGTGTTTGTGTTAACTCAAAGAATATAAAAGCTAGAAGTAGATCTTAATGAGTAACGGTTATTTTGAAACGTACCAATTGTCTTCATGTTAACTCGAAGAATATAAAAGTTAGAAGTAAATCTTATTGAGTAACGGTTATTTTTAAATGTACCAATTGTCTTCATGTTAACCCGAAGAATATACAAGATGGAAGTGGGATGTGATTGGTGATAGATGGTGGTTATGAAATCAGTTCTGCATGCCTCAGATAAATGTTCTTACCAGCAATAGGTTCTAGCGTATGCCACGCCTTGCTGTTAAGTAAGGTGGAAGATAGCTACTTGCTTGTTAAAGGTGCTTGCCATGAATGATGAGTGTTCACCTTTAATCTACGAGAAAATGATCCTCGTCGGATTATTCTCCTAGAGATTTTAGAGATTTTGTGATCGTGTTCATTCATCATACATCGTGCTGTTAGTTTTCATAGGTACTATTTATATTTAATTTTAAATTTTAAATTTTGAAACGAATTCTAACCGCACGATATATGATAAACGATTACGATCACAAGATCTCTAAAAAAAAATCCGACGAAGATCATTTTCCTAATCTACGTAGAACAAGGGCCCACTAACCTGTGGAACATTGGCGAGTTTCGTCTCTACATCCAAAATTTTATTTCTGTCATTTTATTTTTCAACTTTACCAATGAATTCGTATCTAAAATATCCAACTGGCTATAGTCTGTTAAACTTGAACCAAATTTTGAGGGATACCATAAATCGACTATAACTGAATATTGAGCTTTGTACTTACACGTGAAAAGTAATACCACCAAACCGTAATGCTAGTTGATCGAGGCCTACAAAGTTTCGAGTTCGGGATGAAACTCATTTGAGTTGGAGTAGATTCGCATTGAAATATAAAATTTAGGTTTTTTAATGAAAGAGATTGACTTTGTTTCAATGGTTTCTTCAAACGCAAAAAAACTAAACGATGTTTATTGAGAAACCCCAGCTTTTGCTTAGATTAGCAGACTAAGCATACCTTAATTAGTTTACACGATCATTGTTATCACACTCTTGACATAAAACTCTACATTTTACTCGTCACTAATCCCTTTGAGAAACTTCAACACTTGAAGCATCGTAGGCCTCTGAGCTGGGTTATCAGAGAGACACACACAGGCAATCTTCAACACTTGAACCATCCTGCGCTTCGAATCCGCGTCGAGTACTACCGGATCAAGAACATCAGCTGCCTTCCCCTTCTTCATCATCTGAAAAACCCACCCGACTAAATTCCCGCCTTCCAAGTCTTTGAAATCGGGTCCGGTTGGCTCTTTCCCTGTCACCAGTTCGAGCAGTATCACGCCAAAACTATAGACATCTCCTTTTGTGGTAGACCGCCCGCTCTGTCCATACTCCGGTGGAATGTAGCCAAATGTTCCGGCTATTTCAGTACTAATGTGAGTCTCACAGGCACTGATCAACCTTGCGAGTCCAAAGTCTGCAACTTTGGGCTCGAAGTCTTCGTTGAGCAAGATGTTGCTGGCTTTGATGTCCCTGTGGATGATGTGGGGGCTGAATCCATGGTGAAGAAAAGCCAGGCCGCGGGCTGCACCCATTGCGATTTTGAAACGTCTGTCCCAATCTAGGACTTCAAGATCCCCAGTCCGATTTCTCAGCCAAATGTCCAGGCTCCCATTTACCATATACTCGTAAACAAGGAGCTTCTCCTCGCCAAGAGAGCAGTACCCGAGTAATGGAACGAGATTCTGGTGGTTTACCTTCCCCAGGGTTTCCATTTCAGCGATGAATTCTCGATGGCCCTGAGTTTTATACTCGCTTAGCTTCTTAACCGCGACTGTTTTCCCATCCGACAATGTGGCCTTGTACACAGTTCCAAAGCCTCCGTCTCCTATTATGTTTGTCTTGCAGAAGTTGTTGGTGGCTTCAAGAATGTCAACTAAAGTAAGCTTGAGTAGCGGCTGCTGAAACATGGCGACGTTGATGCTCAGAGGCTCCTTTGATCTGCTGCTGCTACTGAGAAAATAGAGATTATGTTCCATGAAACTGCTCAACCTGCGTTCTTCAACTTCTTCAGGATCACGCCGGCTGCTTCGGGTGATCCATCTTACTACAGCATAAGCTGCAACAATAAGGATTAGAGCACTTCCAACTACAACAGCAGCAACTCCCCAGGCATTCAACAGTGCTGATTTATCAAAACTCTCGGCATGGCAATCCAAATTTTTACTTCTCCCACATAATTTCTTGTTACCGGCAAGCGATTTTTCTGACAGGTTCCGGCAGATACCACTCTTAGGAATCGGCCCTTCCAACCTGTTTTCCGCCAAGTTCACGTAAAACAGATTGATGAGGCTGCAAAGTTTATCTGGATCTTTCCAGAGAGCTTGTTATTTGAAACATCAAAAACTCAAGTTGCATCAGATTCCCCAGGTCTGGAGGAATCTCTCCTCGAAACGAATTTGAATGAAGATCCAAATCCGTCAAGTATGACAGATTACCAAGAGAATGGGGCAGCTCCCCATCAAAGAGATTATTACTCAAGTTCATCTTTTCGATCCTCCAAGCCATGCTATTCGAGAACAGCTTATCAACACCCCCATTAAGCCCGTTCTCCTGAACATACAGCCCCACAAGATTCTGCATGCCTGACAGCGACGAAGGAAGCTCGCCATCAAGCTCGTTCGAGCTTAAATCCAAGTGAGTAAGCTCATTCAAGTCCCCAAAGCTCAAAGGTACAGCACCGGACAACTTGTTACCAGTCAAATTAAGCTTCACCAAGCTTCCCAAACGACCTAAGCTTCCGGGGATGGTGCTCGTAAGCTGGTTATTTCCCAGATTCAAGCCTTGAAGCTTCGGCGAATCACCAAACTCTGGAGGAATTGAACCACTGAGCATGTTCCCAGACAAATCCAAAGTTGTAAGATTTCTTAAACGAGCGAGGGACCTTGGAATTTCACCGGAGAGCAGGTTGTTGCTGATCAAAACATCCACCAGAACAACACAGTCGCCCAAATCTTCCGGTATTGCACCCGACAATCTATTGTAGGACAGATCGAAGACTCCAACATGTTGCACAAAGCTCAAATCCGGGATGTTTGCTTGTCGAAAGTACAACGATTTTTTCGAAGGAATTGAACCTGATAGATTGTTGTGAGAAAGTACCAGACATTGCAATTGGCTTAGCTGCGCGAGCTCCGCCGGGATAGACCCGCTGAGCTGGTTGTTTCCGAGCTCCAATGTAGTAAGACCGGTGCACTGGCCAAGCTCCGCTGGAATGTTCCCTTCCAGGAGATTCGAACTCAATATTAGAACAGAAAGGCTGCTGACATTTCCAATTTCTTTAGGAAGAGTGCCTGTCAGCTGATTGTTACTAAGGACAAGCCTTTCTAAGACGGCTGCCCGACCAATCTCATTCGAAATCGGACCTCGCAGCTGATTGTTCGAAGCTGTGAACTCCATCAAAGTTTCCGAATTCCAAAGACTTTTTGGTATTGTGCCCGTAAAGTTGTTGGAATCAAGGTCGATCACCATCAGCGGAAGGTCCGAGAGGTAGTCAGGGATTGCGCCGGCGATCTGATTATTCACCAAGTTGAGTTGCGTCAAGTTCTTGCACTTGAAAAACGTGTTGTCAATTGTTCCCGAGAGGAAATTGCTATCGAGATCAATCTCCGAAAGCGAACCCGCATTGCAAAGCTCTTCCGGAATCGGACCCGTCAACAGGTTATTGCTCAAGCTAAGTGACCTCAGCATAGAGCAGTTGCCAATCTCCGGTGGAATTTTCCCGGAAAATAGATTGCTGGAAAGCAGAATCGATTCGACTTGCTTCAACTTTCCGAGCCAGGAAGGCAACAGGCCGGAGAGCTGGTTCTTTTCCGCGGAAAACGTCATCACCGGAAGATCAGAGAGCTCCTCAGGCAACGTCCCAGAAAGCGAATTGAACGAAAGCATCAAAGTCCTCAAACTTTTACAGTTCCCCAGCTCAGCAGGAACAGACCCGTTGAGCTCAGTGAAGACCAAATCCAAAATACTCAGCTTCTGCAACTTACCAATGCCTTTTGGCAACGAACACCTCAATGGGTTGTACGAGAGGTCAATATTGGTCAAAGATTCCAGCTTAGAAATCTCTTCCGGCAACGGCCCTGTTATGGAACAGGAAGCAGCGTACAGAATTTCGAGCCGCGAAAGCTCACCGATTTCGCGGGGTAACGGGCCGGAGAAATGGTTGATGCCAACGTAGAGCTCGGTGAGATTCTTCAGGCTACCAATCTCAGGTGGAATTGCGCCGGAAAATGAATTGTTTGAAACGTCCATGGAAGCTAAAGATTGAAGTTTCGGAAACAGGGCAGAGGGAAGAGAACCTGAGAGGACATTGTTGCCCAGGTCCAGGAACTGCAGCCGGGTCAAGTTTCCAATCTGGGTCGGAATATCTCCATGGAAGCCATTGTTGGAGAGCTCCAAGGTTTGAAGCAGTGCTAAACTTCCAAGTTCTGGCGGGATTTTTCCGGCGAAAAAGTTGGTTCCGAGCTTCAGAGTCTCTAGCTGAGTTAACTCGGCGAGTTGGGTGAGTATTTCGCCGGAGAGCTGGTTATCGGTGAGGCAGAGGTGTCTTAGGCGTTTGAGGTTGAGAACTTGAGGTGGGATTTTGCCGCGGAGTAGGTTGGAGGAGAGGTCCAGCACGACAAGGTTTGAAAGGGAGAAGAGGGAGGGAGGGAGAGGGCCTTTGAGGGAGAGGGACGGAAGGGCGAGGGCGGTGACTCGGCCAAATTGGCAGGAAACGCCGAACCAGTCGCAGTGCGAGGCGGAGGGCCGCCACGAGGAGAGAACTGCGGGGTTTCCGAGGGCGGTTTTGAAGGAAAGAAGGGCTTCCATTTCTTGGTTTTGGTCATTTTGGTGGGAAACTCCATTGGCGAGTAGAAAGAGAAACT